AGAGTGGCCAGGGCCCTGGGGTGGACCGAAGCGGGTGCCCCAGACCATCCCTCTCCGAGGCGGCATGTGTCCCCACACTGCTGGAGCCTGTTCAAGCAGCGGTTGTAAAAGAAACACAGCCCAGCCCACTGCTTTTCCAAACAACGTGCCGTATCTCATCCCAGCCTGCTAATGGCCGCCCGAGTCAACAGAGGGGCTCTCTGTTGACTCTAAAGTTGCCTTGGGATTAGACCTTAAAATAGCACCCACAAATACGCTGTAAGCATCTGTGATCCTATCCGAAGAACAGTAACTCCCTCCCGGCTCTCCAGGTACGTGAGTCAGTGCTCCTTGGCGTGTTTCAGATACACCCTAGGCACAGTTCGGGTCTGGAGCCCTGAAGTGGTGATGGATATTTCTAGGGGATATTTTGGTGTCTCATCTGTTAAACCATACCCAGAAGGCAAAGGCAAACTCCTGGGGTACACCCTTCCCCGGGTGAGCCATTGAAATTTGTTAGTTGGGAGCACTGATAGGGTGTCTTTAGCCCTGGATGGCTGAGGGACAGTGTATGCCTTGTTGCAACCCCTGTTCATGTATCTTCCCTTTGCATTTTGCATTTGCACCTTTACAGAAAAACCCTTTCTGTGATGGTGCAAAGCACAAGGAGGGAGACGGAGAGGACGTTGGTCCTGGAAATGCCTGCAGGAGAAGCGAGGGGGAAGAAAATGTAACTTGCGGGCAAATCCCCCGCGATCATTCTCCCTTGTTCATTATGGACTAGTTTCCTGCCCGAAACCCACAGGTGAAGGCAGAGCAGCCCCCTCCGCCGCAGCTGGCAGGGAGGGACGCGAGGCACTGGCCGAGGCTCAGCGGCCCGTTGAAGGTCGGCAGCAGAGGCGGCGGCAGAGCCAGGAGCTGAGCTCACATCTCCCAGCTCCCCGGCCAGTCCCCGACCCACAGGGCCATTTTTTCCTCTCTGTTCTGCCTCATTAGCACTAGCAAGCACTTCTGTCATCAGGGACACGCACACTCTGGTGGGGAGTGTAACAGAAATGCCTATTAATAAATGATATAATACTTTCCAGTTTTCAAGGCTCTCTGTGGCGTCCGCTCAGCAGCCCTGGCTGCTCTTTTATTTACACCCTCAGCCCTGCCAAACCTGTTGTTTGCCATCGCCTGGGCTTGCCCAGAGACATACTCAGCTGCTGAAGGATTGCCTTGAGCTGGCCACGCACGCAGCCCCAGATGGGGCAGGGAACGGGGAACAGGCGATGCCGGTGGTGTGGGAGGCATGGAAGGAGGGGGAACCGGTGGGGAAGGGGCCCTGGGCTGTGCCATTCGGCGTTGGATGGGAGAAGAGGGGCAGCTTTATAACAAATGTTTTGTATTAGCCCTGAAAGCCTGCAGCCCCAGGCTGGGGATCCATCTGCAAGCACGGAACTGGGGCGGGCACTCGCCCGGCGAGTCTCAGAGTTATTGCTTCATTCTCCTCACAACAATGTCGCACAACGGGACGTGTTTTATGGGGACATTAATCCACACAGCAATGGCCTTAATGCGTCTCACCACCCGAGGTGTGTATTAGCTGCCTCTATAACATATACCCCAGTGAGTTTTATTGCTATTGCAGCATAAATCCTGGGGTTTAGAGCCTTTTAAAACTCTCTGTTAAGCTCTACCCTTCCAGGTCCCAATCCAGGGGATGATGGAAAAAACCCAAACCCCCTCACCATTACTCCATCTCTCAGTTGACATGGGGGTTAGCTGAGGCTTTGGAGACATCGGAGCTATTCTCCTGTGTTTCCCATAGGAAAGCCATGATAAAGAAGGGATTCAGTATGTTATTCCTTCTTTTCTATTCATGCTACAGCTATGCAGATACTCAGCGCAATGCTTCTATGTTGTCTGCCAGGACACCCAGCGCAACAACGACCACCCCTCTGCCACCAACACCGCAGCTGCCACCTTCTGCATCCCTGAAGGTCAG